AAAAAAATGGGTATCAATTCGACAGAATTTGAGCAGTTAGTTCAGTACTTTGCCGATAGGAGCGCCACTAAAATTTACGGTAGCGCCTTTCCAGGTAAAACCCTTATCGCCTGCTCTACCATAAGCTGATCGTTAGAGTTCTCGGCTGATTTTTCTAATTTATGGCAAGGAACTCAGTTTTATAACAATAGTAATCTATTGTTAAGAAAATTAACTTTTACGCAATGAGGTACTATCATAAAACCGAATTAAAACTGGGGAACTATAATATTTTTACTCCACTCAGGATCCTGAATTCAATACACATGATTACTAAAAATTCATTGTAATATTATTGTTAATATATATTTTGCTTTGTTAATTAATAAAACTAATAAACATATTTATAATAATAATAAAAAATATATAAAATACAGCTTTTGTTTAACACGTATAAGTAGACAAGTGTATCTACTACTTATCCCAGAAAGGAGGTGTTTTAAAAAAGCCCTACGCCCAGTAACTTCTTCCTTCATTGTTTACTCGACAAAAGTGTTCGTATATGTTTTCATTTGCCGAGAGATCATTTTCAAAATATATTTATAATAAAAATATGCAAGTCTTGGTGATGAAAAATGTACTCCTAATAAATTATTAAAGTACATAAAAAAATAGAAACAAATTTTATTTATTTAAAAAAAATCTCTCGCAAAAGCAAGTTCCTCTTTCTTCTTGAATCAATTATTTCGGGCAATAATGCGCCAAAGTAAAATCTGCCAAGTTTATCTGCCATCTTTTTACATATACTTATTTCTTCGTCTTCATACATTTTTTCTATATTTATTCCTTTGGGTGTCCATACAACAAAATAAACTTGTGAAATACCCATAACAAGCATTTGTCCCTGGACTTGAAAGTAGTAATCATGATTTTTTTTAGTTTCAATTCTCTGTCTCTCAATGTACAAAATTTGATTATTTTTTTTCTAACCGCTTCTTCGGGAGACAAATCTTGCGATTTTGAAGGGCATTTAATTTTGACTAATGCACTCCTATCCTCTAGAACTCTGTCTGGACTAGCAGCCAAGTAAGGAAATTGTTTTGAAATAAACAAGCCGCACCGTTCAGTTTTTATATTTTTATTTATTTCAAAACACTTGACAGCTTTTTCCTCACTTTGCTGTCCATAGTATGTATGACTATTACCTCTAAATGTACTGTACAACAGAGACTCCACAGTTTTAGCTATTGCTGTAGTCAGGGGCGGCTTGTCCTATGAGGCAGGTGAGGCAATGCCTCAGCAATGAATTTGGGCCATATTATTATTTTTATTATTTCTGACCGATACATTTCTGGCCAACAAAAAATTTTTTTCTAATATTTTAAAAATAAACGTATAAAATTATATTATTCATATCGTGGTAGATGGATATTAGCTGTTTCAAAGAATTCAGAAGGATCTAGAAAAAACAAGACGAATCTGAAAGAGTCTGCAGAGATCTGAAATAATGTGGAAAAATTTGAAAGAATCTGAAACGATATGAAAGGTGAAAAATTCTGAGGAAATCTGAGAGTCAATATCGAAAAAATCTGAAAGAATCTGAGAGAATTTAAGATTTTTTTCAAATTCTTTGGATCCTTTCTGATTCTCTCTTTCAAACTTTTTGCATTTTTTCGAATTTTTTCAGATTCCTTCGAATTTTTGAGGTTCTTTCAAATATACCATCAGACATTTTCAAGATTCCTTAAAATTTTTCAGATTCCTGCGACTCTTCCAGATTTTTTTAGATTCTTTTAAATTTTGCTGGATTCTTCGAGATTCTATCATATTCTTTGCCAGGAATCTAAGGGAATCTCGAAGAATCTCGAAAAATCTAGAAGAATCTAAAAAAAAAAAACTGGAAGAATCTGGAAGAATTTGATAAAATCTGCAGGAATGAAAGGGTCTGAACGTCTGTATAGAACTGAAAATTTTGGAAGAATCTTGATAATTCCTGACGGTGGCTTTGAAAGAATCTGAAAAAATTCGAAAGAATCTGAAAGAGAGAATCAGAAAATAAATGAAAGAATCTGGAGAAGTTTAAAGGAATCTGAAAGAACTTGGGAGATTCGAAAAGAATTTGTGAGAACCTGAGAGAATCTCGAAGAATCTAGAAAAATCTGGAAGAACTTAGAAGAGTCTGCAGGGATCTGAAAGTATCTGTAAGGTTCTAAAACGATCTGAATAGAACTGGAAAAAAATCGAAAGAATGTGAAACAATCCCACACAAATGCAAAGACTGAAAACACCACAAGAATCTGGAAGAAGAAGTTAGAAAGAATCAGAGCGGATCGGAAATAATCTCAAGGAATCTAGACGAATCTAAATAAATCTGGAAGAATCTGGAACAGTCTGCAGGAATCTGAAAGGATCCAAAGCGATCTTGAAAAATTTGAGAGGACCTGAAATGATTTGTAAAGATCTGAAAAATTCTAAGGGAATATTGAAGGAATTGAGATCATTTGAAAGAATAGAAAAAAATCTGTAACAAAGTATTTTTTTTAGAAATGGTCGCATTAATTTTTCAACATATTCTTAGAGCCAGGAATTTGCTGTAAACTACTTTTGGTAAATCATGCGGATTTAAACACAGTGATCATTTTTAACAAAATTAGTGGAATATTTGGTATTGATTATTATTTTACCGTTGAGACGTCATAAACAAAATGAAATGAATGATAAACAGAAATTAAGGCAATTTTTTTCCAATATTATTGATATTAAAATTAATCAAATACGAATTAGAGTCTCTGGGATAGAAAAATTACACATTTTTGACTTTCTAATATTTCATTTTTTCCGAAAAAATTTCCATGTTAAAACCCAAGCACGACAATACAATTTTTTGACATTTAGGTACCTAGTGGAGCATCTTGTGCCTTGCCTCATCAACTTCTCAACTCATGAGCCGCCCCTGGCTGTAGTCGGTCTAAGTTTGTAAATACGTCCAAAATTTGAAGCCGTAACCCTAATTTCTCTTTCTTTTGTCCAACTGTGCCTGTTGCCTAGTATCTATTTCAATTTGGTCTAAATTCAAAGATAATTTTCTCAAAAAAACCTCTTTGGCTGTCACAAAATGATTTTCTAAAAAATATTTAAACCATAATCGCAGTCGGGACCAGCATACGTAAATTTTTTTACGACATATTTTTTTACAAATACTTTGTCTAAGACGAGCTTGTTTTATAGACGAACAATATTTTTTTGTTATTAAACCAGGACCGTTATAATCACAATATATTTACTTATCCCCTCTAAAAAACTGATTACGTCACCTCAAAATTTTGCTGAATAAATGCTATCTAAAATGTACAAAATATGATGAGTCTCTTTTTGTGACTTATCATTCCATTCATATTTTTTGGATTTGCGTATACAGAATGACCCCAAAAATTAATGAATGCGTAAATTTATTTTATTGATTTAATCAGGAACTACAGAACCCAATGCTTTGAAATCTTGCAAATGTTTTAAAGTTATAAAGAGCATAATAAATTTTTAGTCAAAATATATTTGCTTATTCTCTCCAAACAATTTATGACGTCAGCTCAAAAGTTGGCTGTATAATCCTATTTAAAATTTACAAAATATAAATGATGAGTCTCTTCTTGTAATTTATCATTCCATTCATATTTTTGGATTCGGATATACAGGGTGACTCGAAAAATTTAATGAATGCGCAAATTTATTTTATTGATTTAATCAGGAACTACAAAACCGAATGCTTTGAAATCTAATGTGAAAAAAAAACATAATAGGCATACAGTCGTCACGTTTCCGATAGCGAAGGAAGTACTGTCTAAACTCTTTAGACCAATTTTTTTGATTTTCCCATTTTTCCATTTCTCAATTTTTCAATGTTTCAGTTTGGGCTTTCTTCACTGCTTCGATTCTTTAATTTTCCTTCCATTTTTAGGTTTTTCAATATTTCAGCTTTGGAATTTTGCAATATTTCGTTTCTTCAATTTTTCAAATTTTTGATATTGTGTTTTCTCGGTTTTTAAATTTTTCGATATTTTAATTTTTCAGTTTTTAAAGTTTTAGGTTTGTAGATTTCTCATTATCTCGACTTTTCGATTTTTCAGTTCCATGATTTTTCAATTTGTCGAATTTTTAAATTTTAGATTTTTTGTTCTCGATCATTCAATTTTCTGAGTTTTCAGGCTTAGATTTTTTTTGTTGTTGAATTCTTGGATTTTTAAAATTTTTGTTTTTTAAATTTTCCTATTTAAGTATTGAGTATTGAGTAAGCGTTTTTTATCATTTCCATAATAAAATTTGTAAATGCGAATTTTAAGCATGAATCTCTCAACTACACTCAGCGTTATTTAAAATGTTCATATTAATATGCATGACAATGAAAAGTAAAAATAAATATTGGACAGTCATTTTTACCAATTTTGAAGTAGGTATGAACAGTTTGTAAAATATTAAAGCATTGCTAACATTCACAGCCGCTGCATAAATCGGGGATTAAAGTTTGTATCAGCGAAAGCATTGTAAATAAGAGCTGTAAAACAAGAGCAAAAAAAAAATATATTAAGTAAACTAACTACAATCTTTCACCAGCATGTACAATTTTTATTACTATTCTGAATGATCACGTGGAGGTGTCGGCACCTTTCCTGAAGCGTTAATTTCATCAACATTTTTGTTTTTACAATAGGCTTCCAGGTAAAATCTGGTGAAGAGATAAATCATGAGTGAGAAATTAATTAGGGCACAAAAATGCAGGTATCTTGGATATGGGCATTCAGATTCTGTTGTATCTACGGCAATCGTAAAAACCATGGTACAGTGCTGCGCCTAAAATACCATAGATGTGTATATTTTGGGTGAAGAAGTAACGGTGTACATACAATTTGTAGCAAGGTGATGCACTTTTTCCACCATAATTGCCTTAAATTTCTATTGACACTGAGCAGGTAGTATGTGTACATTAAGGAATGCACCAAAGTATTCCAAACACCAAAAATCAAAATTGGACCCAGAGGATACTTCCTACTTTCTAAAAAATAATGAGCAGCGAGACAAGACCCTCCAAATACCATAACATGATGAAAAACGTGTAAAAAGGTTATCTGTCTATGGCTTTTTCGGAGGACAAAAAATCCCTGGAAAATATGTATGTAGCTACTTATACGACCAAGTTGATTAATTTACCGTCTCTATCATATCATACACTTTAAGCAAGATGTACTTGTAACAAAGATCCGACAATGTGGAGTACATTTTAAGTTCTGACTCTTCAATGGGTCCACAGAAAAGATTTAATTTGAACAAAAGCGGCACTAACTGGAATTTTGATAAAATAAATTAGCATCACCCTTTTTAACTCACCTTAATCAAGAGGTACGTGTTGAAAAATATTTGAGACGTGTTGTACACCATCAGGACTTTTTTCATCTCAAACTGCTGCCTGTCCTTCATCCAGATTGGTCCCAGTTTGAGGACGAATAAAAGATAGAAAACTATGAGAAATAAAGCCTGGAATGGTGATTGCATAAGCGTAAACTGGCAAATTTCGGCGACTGAAAAAATATCAGATTTAAAAAATTAATACCGAACTGAATTTTTTTGCACAACAACAGTACAGTAGTGTCCAAAAAAACAGATATTAAATAAGATTAACTTACATCCCATTGTTCTTTTTGAAGTACTGCTGCTTGTATTAGCTATACGAAATGACAAAATATTTTAAATAATAATTAAGTATGACGACACGAGAGTGCAAGTGGCGATAAAGCTGAAGCCTAACTACAATAAAGTGCGTGTGCGCAAAAATTGTAATTGGGGGAGAGAGAATTCCAATTGTGTGAAGAGTGGGTCCTCTGTTTTCACTTTTATGTTTGCGATATTTTAATTTCAATTTTTTTGCTTAAGTACCGGGTACCGTTATTCTTTTATAATTAATTTCACATATTTTGCACAGTAATTTAGAACTTCTCTTAATTGAAGCTTAAGTAGCTGTTTAAGATAATAAAATTGCGCAAAATGGGTTTGTTTTAAAATTAATTTCGGAGGCTTGCACGGTCGGAATCAATACATGATCATTTTCTGGGTTGGAACCGTGTTAATTTTCACACTTTCGTCTCGCCATCGGAAGAATGTCACGTAGACATTTGTTTAATTTGAATGAGTTTGTCGCCCCAAAACAGATGACTAAAATTGTTCATTAGCCTCCATTGAACAAAATATTCTGAATGTTATTATTATAATTCTTACCTTATCATTATTTTATTGTTATAAAGACGAGCGTATTCTCACATTTTCTAGAAAATGGGGTGGCTAGTTCTTAATTTGATCAATAATAAATTGACTGGTTCATTAATTTTTTTGGGTTACCTGTTTAAGCAAATCTAAAAATATGAATGCAATGATTAAAATTTCAAAGTATTCAGTTTTGCAATTCTTGATTTAATTAATAAAATAAATTGACTCAGTCATTATTTTTTTTTCACACACCAAGATTGTTCATTTAGACGCCTCATAAAGTACAACAGTAACACCGTTGACCCCGGTACGACGCCTATGGGGAAGTCTCGATTGCGGCGTCCAGAACAACCTCGAAGCGGCGTTCGCGATCCATCCAGAGGAATGAAGGCTTTAGATAGAGGCGACCGTAGGAAACGATTATTCTTCAGTCGGGTCGAGTCCAGAGAATGTTGAGAGAAGCCAGTCAAGTTGTCGTGTAAATTCGAGTTGCTAAGAAATACATTGTTAAATTTTACCCACGTCAATTTTTTAAATTAAAGGGGAAGCATTGTAAACTCAAAAAACAGTATATTAAATTACTACAATCTTTTACCAGCGTGTAAAATTGTTAATACTATTCCGAATGATTACGTGGAGGTGTCAGCAACGTTCCTGAAGCGTTAATTTTATCAAAATTTTTCTTTTTACCGCAGTAAGCTTCCAGGTAAAATCTGCTAAAGAGATAAACCATGAGTGAGAAATTAATTAGGACACACAAATGCACGTTTTTTGGATACGGGCATTTATATTCTGTTGCATCTACGGCAGTCGTGAAAACCATCGTACAGTGCTGAGCCTAAAATACCATAGATGTATATATTTTGAGTGAAGATGTACCAGTGTACATACAAGTTGTAGCAAGGTGACGCACTTTTTCCACCATAATTGTCTTAAACTTCTATTAATACTGAGCAAGTAGTATGTGTACATTAAGGAATGCACCAAAGTATTCCAAAAACCAAAAACGAAAGCTGGACCCAGAGGATATTTCCTACTTTCCAAAAAATAATGAGAACAGAGGCAAGACCCGCCAAATATTACAACATGATGAAAAATATGTAAAAAGGTTATCTGTCTGTGGCTCTTTCGCAGGACGAAAAAACCCTGGAAAATACGTACCTAGGTACTCGTATTACCAAGTGTGGAAACTGTAGTGATTATTAATTGTGGAACGACGTGCACTTTTAACAACGATTTATTGATTATTATGTACATGTCAATATATATATTATATGATGAAAGTATTTATGTGTTTTCGCGACGCGTGCCCGTTGACGGGTTGTTGGTGACTGTGCGTCCGCCACTCGTTCGTCCAGGAGGGCGGTCATAAATAAATTTGGGGGTGGTACCGAACACCCGACGAGAGCCGAGCAGCCGAGAACTCCGGGTGGTACCACACATGACTTCCCCTCTTGAAGGTGCGTCCTTCAACATATTACGACTGGCTGGCCTAGAAGGGTAGCCTGGAAAATTGAAAATTGTACCAAAATGTCTAAACGTGAAAAACACCTATAATAGTCAGTTCGCATCATAAGTAATGTCAATTGATCGCGCACTATGGGTAAAACGCACACTTTACGTAAGGCGCGTTTGGTGAGTCCATGAACAGTTTTGATTGTTACCACCCGCACTACACCGTCGTCCCCTGGATGAATTTCCGTGATCCGTCCGGTTTTCCATGTGAGAGGTGGTACATTTTCTTCTATAATGAGCGCGAGTGACCCAACTAGCGCGTCCGGGTGGTCTTGCTGTTTCTGCCATTTGGATCTTGTTTGCAGTTGCGTTAGGTACTCGCGACTCCAGCGTCGCCAAAAATGCGTGCGAATTTTTTCCACCAATTGCCATCGGGACAGTTTTTTTTAATCGTCACCTCCGTCACATCGTATTCTGGAAAGGAAGCTAATGGCTCTCCGATGAGGAAGTGACCGGGTATTAGGATGCTCAGGTCGTTGGGATCGGACGATAAGGGGGTCAAAGGTCTTGAATTTAAACATGCTTCAATGCGTATTAAGAGTGTGGACATTTTGCTAATGTCGGAAAATGCAACGGGTATAATTTTTCTTGGCACTTTAATTTGACGTATATGGTTCAAACTGCTTAAAAAGGTAATCCAAGACGTATATATATCGGGAGGTACTGATTCATCCCAACCCAATTTCAACGTCCATAAACGTTGCAAAATTAATTTAGCATGCATTATGATGTGTCCGAGCAACCCTAACGGATCAAATATTTGGGTCGTTACCGAAAGTATGGCACGTTTGGTTACTTTATTAGGTATATTTTTCAGTATAATCTCGTAATTTAAATTATCGACGGTAGGGTTCCAATACAAACCTAAAATTTTTGTAAATTTATCCTTATGCAATTGTAGGTTCGAATCATGGAAATTATCATTATTAGATAAAACACTTATTAGTTCGTTTGACTGAAATTTTCGCAATTCAAATTGACCCTGTTTCAATATGGTACTTACATCATTTTTTATTTTAGTTAAATCTTCGATCGAGTCAACCCCGGTTAAAAGGTCGTCCATATAAAAATCTCGACGAATGATTTCGCTCGCGACAGGGTACCTAGCTTGGTTTTGATCAGCTAGCTCCTTCAAACACCGCGTAGCAATAAAACTTGCCGGTTTGGTACCATATGTTAATGTCAAAAGACGATACGTATTTAGTGGTTCGGATGGATGATTCCGCCAAAGAACTAATTGATAATTCGTATCGTTGGGATGTATCTTAATCTGACGATACATTTTCGCTATATCAGCGTTTAACACGTACTGAAATGTTCTAAAGCGTACTATTATTGAAAATAGGTCTTGTTGTAATACCGCCCCAGCTAGCAAATTATCGTTTAGACTTTGTTTATTTGAAGTTTTTGCCGACGCGTCAAAAACAACTCTTAATTTTGTTGTCGTACTAGACTCCTTTTGCACGGCGTGGTGAGGCAAATAAACGCAATTGTTGTCGTTGGGTGGTTGGCTTAAATATTCCATATGATTTAAATTTTGGTATTCTAACATGAAATCTACATAATTTGTTTTAACGTGTGGGTTTTTGATCAAATTCCTTTCAAGACTAAAAAAGCGTTTGAGAGCTGCATTTCGTGAATTACCAATATTTATTTTGTTATTTTTAATGGGCAACCGTACAATAAATCGCCCGTCATGGTCCCGTTGGACAGTTTCCCGGAAGTGGGTTTCACAAAGAATTTCGTCTTCGTTAGACGCATTCTTATCGTAATCCGCCGTAATTACTGGTTTTTCCAATTCCCAAATCTTTCTTGCCTGTATTTCTAAGCCGGGGTCGGGTCCGGATATGGAAATATTGCATGTTGTAAAATTTGTCGGTAAGTTTATGGTACCGAGAGGGCCTCCCACAATAAACCCTAAATGTGTTTTTTGAAATATTAACCCACTGCTCGGCGAGGACAATTGGCCTATGCAAAGTAAATTCCAAAAAAGGCCGGCTCCTATCAAAAGATCTATTGTACCCGACTCGAAAAACTTGGGATCTGCTAGTTTTATGGTTTTGGGAATTTCCAAAGATGAGGGGTTGATAGACACTAACGGAAGATTTTCAGTTATTTTGTTCACCACGATGCAATTTATTTTTGTTGAGTATGCATTATAAATAGATTTTATACCCACATCTAGAACTTGCTTTTGAGAAGAACTTGCCGCTCCATTTAAACCCTTAATTTGAATATTTATTTGTTCCGTATTCAATTTTAGTTTTTTAATCATCGGTTCAGTTATGTAATTGGACATAGAACCTGGATCCAACAAAGCTCTACAAATTTCATATTCATTTTTAGCATTTTTAATAAGAACTATAGCCGTTGATAGTAAAACGGAATCTGAGCATTTTAATAAACTAGAAGAATGATTACTTAAAGTTACTGAACTATTTTCATCGGCGTCAGCTTCGTCTGTATGTATTAACGTATTATGTTTTTTGTTACAAGCTTGACATTTATGACTGGTACGACATGTAGCAACCTGATGATTTTCTCGGAGACAATTGATGCATAATTTAAGACGTTTAACTTGCGCTATACGCTCGGGAATTGACATTTTCAAAAAATCTATACACTGAAAAATTAAATGAGATGATTTTTTACACATTGAACAAGATGCTTGTTTTTTATTAGTGGTTATGTGAGAAACAGTCTTTGATTTGTTGAAATAATTATTTTGTTTATGATAAACCTTTCCTTCATTTGATGTTTTATTATTCGACATATAACTTAATGATTCCAACATTAAACAACGTTTTTCTAGAAAGTCAATAAACTGTTTGTAAGTCGGTACATCTTTATCGAGGGAAAGTTGCCATTCACGTTTTGTACTATAATCCAACTTTTCTACAATGACAGGAATAAGT